GTGTGTGTGTGTGTGTGTGTGTGTGTGTGTGTGTGTGTGTAACGCAGCTCTCCTGAGTGCTGGGGAAGGGAGAAGTGCGTTTCACCCCAAAAGTTTTGGAGTCCATCAGGTCTGGGTTCCAAAAACAGCCCCACAACCAACTGGCCATGTGGACGCCTAGTTCTCAGAGCTGCAGCTTTCCTCACCTACATGGAAACAGTAAGGTATCCCGCTTCGAGAAACTATCAAGAATCTGTTAGACCTCAGGGTCTGGCAGAATAAACACTCACTAAATAGCAACTCCTTTCCCTTAGAAGCCTTTCCTCCAACATGGAGAACACTGATCAGATAACAATTTAACTGCTGGAAGTGCCCTGCCCATCACAGAAACTTGGCTATTTACACACAATCAAAGATTAAGCACAGGCTATTTAGAGACGGAGGGAGGAGGTCACTCGTGTCAGCCTCCACGGTGGGCTTCTTGGGAGGGTCCTAGTCTTCCTACTTCCCCACTGCCTACCCTGCTGCCAAACTCAACTGTGAAATAAATTAGCATGAGGCCAGAAGCAGAATCTACTCCCACTCGTTGATCTCACCCCCACTCGACCCCAAATACCACCACAGAGAAATGCCTTTTGAGAAAAGAGTTACCAACACAAAAAAGCTTTGGGGGAGATTGTTTAGAATGAAACAATCATTGTGAATGAGAACAAGAAACAAGCCCCCGATGACTCCCGGAGGCCCCATGAGCTGCACCCACCTGCCCACCCGCCAGGCTCACAGATGCTTTGAATCAACAGGTGGAAAGCCAGCCCATGAGGAGAAGACGAGGCTTCTACAAAGTCTTTCCATTTGATTAGACAACTAGCTCACTGATGTGCCAGCTGATCTCAATCCCTGCTCCTCTTCTGTTGAATGGGAAAATTTCAATGTGAATATAAAACCTCTATGTGTTTGTCCTCTTGCAGAGCCTCAGGACTCTGCTGCAACCTCTCAGGTGACCTGGATTGTAATGAACGTGCCAAATGTCCACTGTGCTGGTCAGCAAACTTGGCTCAGAGTCAGGCCCGCAATCAGACTGCTATTTCTGAAGAGAAAGCATGTGAAACTTTGGGAGAACAGAAAGCGGCACATTGAGGCTTAGCAAACAGTCCACGCCACATTTAGGGCGGAATTATTTAGGGAGCCATGTGCTTAAGTTCACAAAACATAGTTCTCTGTCCATCCATGCCACAACAATCCCCTATCTACTGCACCAAATTCTCACACCCATGCCAGCGTGGCTGGAATGAGGCTTTTATTCTTCTGTTTGGAATAGGGAGATAACATGCTTTGGTCTCTCCAGCCAAGTTTGCTAATTACTACTATAAGTAGAATAGCCATGCTACGCACGGCTGACTGACTGGCTTTCCTGTGCATCCCAGAAAAGTCCTCAGGTCGATGTCACAACGGACAATCTGGAAAGGCATCAAGTCTGTGCTCTGTACAGCGTCCCAGTTTGGTCATGTCACATGTGCAAGGACAGGCACCTGCTGGGACAAAATCCACAGCAAAGGGGAAACAGATCCTCCTCGTAGATCTTGTTAACTGTCGGGATTCCAGCACAGAGCTCCTCAATATGCTATCCACTGCTATTCCCTGTAATCCCTGCTTCTCCAAAACTCACTTAATTGACATTCCATGTAAAAGTCTTCTCTCCATAGGCCACTAAGTACATTTCCACTCCAGGACGGCTGAGTTTACCATCATTTCCCTGATGGTCATGGATAATCTGGACGGTCCTCTGACTTTCTGAAAATGATGCTATGATTATCACAAAGGCCCACAGAGTAAAGCCTCTTAGCAAGCAATAAGAAGAAAACAAAAACAACCAAAAAGAGAATCCTGCAGAAACCTACAGTAACCTGCAGCAATATTACAGTCAGAATGCAGAGCAAGGGGAAACTGATTAATGGTTTAGCTATGGGAGTCACATAATATATATATTATAATATATACACACAGCCCTCATATTTATAAACTTTTTCAATTTTTTTTTTTTTTTTTTTTTTTGAGAGAGCACGAGTAGGGGCAGGGAGGCGGGGACAGAGAGAGGAGAGAGAGAATCCCAAGCAGGCTCTGCACTGTCAGCACAGAGCCCAATATGGGGCCCGATCTCACAAATCATGAGATCATGATGCAAGCCAAGATCAAGAGTCAGACACTTAACCAACTGAGCCACCCAGGTGCCTCAAAGCCCTCATCTTTAAAACAAGGATGAAGTTAGTAAGCCGAGCCCAGCTGGGTTTGTCCCTTCCACCACAGGGTCCTCTCTTTCGCAGCTTCCTGCTGTCAGTAAGAAGGGAAGAAGGTACGGGTGAAGCAAGATCGCCCTGGGCCGGCTGGTCAGGAAACCACAACAGAAACGAAGGAGCCGAGGGAAAGGACTTCACAGCGAGGCGCACATCACCAGAGCATGCCCCCGTTACTAGAGCAGCAAAGGCCAGGACAGAGTTTTGCTTGTTCACCTTGCTTCTTCACCCTGGTTCTCTTTTGCTACTTTATTATGGAAATCGTCAAACAGAGATACAAGCTGAAAAGAACAGACTATGAACATTCAGATTCAACGCCAGTATACAGCCTCACTCTACCACTTGGCCTTTTTCTTCCTGAGCCATGTGAAAACAAGCCACAGATATCTTGACACTTGAACCCTAAACACTGTGATACACTTCCTAAAAATAAAGACATTTTCCTACAAAACCACAATAAAATTAACACACCCCAAAAAACTGACAATACCTCCCTTATATCCAAAGCCTAGTGCACACTCAAATTTCCCTATCCTGTCCCATTTTTTACAGCTGTTTTCTTAAAACCATGACTCAGTCAAGACTCATGCGCTGCATTTGGCTTTGTGTCTGTAGTTTCTTTTAGTAAAAAATAGTCCTTTCACCTCTAACCCTGTTTGCATTTTTTCCCTTGACGCTGACT